AATCAATTACCCAGCCACTCAAGACCAGGTCCAGCCAAGTTCACACCTAACCTTAACAACCATATTGAACAAAAGTATTTAATTTTTATGAGATCTCATTTATCTATTGTCTTTTGCTTCTCATGTTTTAGTTGCTACATCTAATAAACCATCATTAAAAAGTAGGTCCCACAGTCTTGTCCCTATATTTTCTTCTAAGAATTTTATGGTTTAGCTTTCACTTTTAGGTCTTGATCCATTTTAAGTTGGTTTTTGTGTATGGTGTGAGGTATGGCTCCTGAATCATTCTTCTGCATGTAGAAATCCAATTTTTCCAGAATTATTTATTGAAAAAGCTCTTCTTTTCCCATTGAATGGACTTGGCACTCTTGTAGAAACTCAGTTGATCATAGATGCATGAGTTTACTTCTGGACTCTCAATTCAATTCCACTGGTCTGTGCATATATTATTATACTAGTACCAGATTGTTTTGATTATTCCCAATGCATTTTATGCGACTAGAATAATCCTGATACCAGAACCAGACAAAGGCATTACAAGAAAAGAAAATTATGCCTTATTATCCTTCATGAATGTAGATGCAAAAATCCACAAAAATATTAACCAACTGAATTCAGCAATATATACATAGTACATACAATATATCAGGACCAAGTAGAAAAATGGCTCGACATTAGAAAAATAACCAATGTAATATGTCGCATCAATAAATGTAGAAAAAGTATTTGAAAATATGTAACATTCATTGATGACTTATAAAAAAAAAAACTTAGCAAACTAGGAATAGAAAGAACTCTCTTAACCTGATAAAGAACATCTTTAACAGCCAATATCATACTGATTGAGAAAAGGCAAAAATGTTTTCTTTCACCACTAGCCAGTGCAATAATAGCACAGTAATTTAGAATTTAGAAGGGTAACAAGATTCAATATATAAAAATCAATAATAGGCAAGGTTATGGTCATTGCTTGATCACACCCAGCTACCCAGAGCAACCGAGTAGTTGATCCTGCGGGCTTGGGACCATAGTTGCAGGGGACATCAAGCTAAATTGGCATAACATACTATACAAAACATTGTTCCACCTCCTAC